TCAACGTTGATGATATTCTTTGTCATTGATAATCAAAATAATATAAGATACTTACTATAATTAAAAATAACAATCAGTAAAAATAAATAGCAAATAGAGATTTAATTATTAATATTGCATTGTTTACCAACCGCTTTTCTGTTACTCACTCTCAGAGATGCCTTTTATTGAGTAAAGTTTAGTGATAAAAGACAGCACTGATGGAATAAATGCAAAACTTATTACGTACTAATAATTATATGATTTAAAACGTCTTTTATTTATCTTAAAAAATTTCTTGAAAGTGATCCATGATTTTCTTTAAACAATCTATTGTTGATATATATATAATATATACAGTTAACTCAATTCTTTTTTTTTGCTGGGATTCCTAAACTTAATCAACTATTTTTTATTCTATTGCAATTAAATATATTTGCCAACTCCTTTTACTTTTGAAATTGTTAAAATTTCGATGTAGACAAATGCATAAAGTTCAAAAACTATTTAATATCATTTGAAACCCATTGCATAATATTCTCAATGAAATATTGCACGAAATATTTGGCGTTTTGAGTTATCTCCGTTCCCGGATTTTTCATTCGTTTTCATATTATTACCCATTTCCTCTTCGAAATCAACTTCTTTCTTCACACTTACTTCCTTGAATTCTTTTTTTATATACCTTCCTTCACTAATATCTGTTATATCCTCCACGTGCTTTCTTTTCTTATTACGCCAACTATCGATCCTATCATCTATATTGTCACTTGGATTCACACTTTGATTGATTGTTGGATAATCATACAAAATTTCATTATCTTGAAATTTCCGTATATCTTTCATGGTACGTTGTTTATCCTGAATATATTCAATGTTATTATTGTCAAAACCTGAGCTTTCTACTGCCATCTGTGTACAAATATTCATTGGACATTCCTGTGATATGTTTATGTTACCAATTCCAGAAGTGCCGCTCTCTAGATTTCTTTGCGCAAAAAACTTCGACTGATCTTTCGGGTTTCGTTGCTTATCCGGTGATGCCTTCGTAAGTCCAACATCGGACTTCTTAACATTTAATTGTTTTTTCAAAAGTTTCTGCGAGTTTTCTTGTGAGACTTGCTGTTCTCTATGTGATGTCTCTGTTTCTTGTGAGATTTGCTGTTCTCTCCGTGTTTTTTCCGTTTCTCGTGAGACTTGCTTTCTCTGTGATGTTTCCATAACTTCCTTACTTTCAATTTTCTTTTGTTAAAAAGGATCTTGTGAAGTTACTTGTAGTATCTGCTGTTTAGCCTGCGATATGGCACCAACACTAGTGGTCTTTTCTTTTTGCGATTCTTGTTGTTTCTCATTTGACTTATTTTGCGCCACCCCATTTTTCCTAATCTCTTTTGTCCTATAGAAAGGTTTACTTATAAGAAAGAAATCATCTATTTTTTCTTCATCTATTTTTTCTTCATTTTTTTCGTAGCGTCGAATTCTTTTTGCATTCCTATGATCGTCATTTAATGTGTCACAAACTTTGCCAGATGAATTACAATTCATCCCGTTCTTCTTTCTTTTATTGTCTTTCCCAAAACTTTTCTCCAAAACATTGCTTCTAACTACATTATATTCGGATTGATCCTCTTCCAAACCCCTATTTTGCCCATCAATTGAATTAACTTTTTTGCCATCATATCCAAGCCTATTTTCCCCATTTTCCTTATCGCCCTTATTGCCGCCAATGTTCACAATATGTTTAAATTGATCTGCCAGGTTGGTCTCATCCAATGAATCATTCAAGATATCTTCGTCCATAAAAATATTTGTATCTGCCATAGTATTATTATTTGATAGATCAATCGTAGTGGAAGTAGCTGTAACCGTTATGGTTGTAAATTTTACATAGGTAGGTAATTTTTTTGTGTTTATTGGATTACTATAATCAGTATGGTTCGGGGCACTAAAAGATGGTTTGAGAGAAGTTTTGGGAAATTTTTTTGTTGTACCTTTCGAATTATTATGCAAATCTAGATTTCCAATGTTAGCTCCTGAGGGATCGGACTTGCCGGAAGAATAATTACCCGTTAAATATGAGTTATTTTCCCCATTTACCATTTCAATGTCTCCTATCTTTTTATTTGATTCATCATCCCATGTTGTTTCCAAATCTTCACAATATTCTGTATAATCCGGCACTTTATCCTTCTCACAAACAGCACTGAAGCCTTGATCTAAAATCCAACTCTCGGGCCTATAATGCAAATGTAGTGCTGCAATGGGTTTGAGATCAAAGTTATTCATTGTCGCATACCTCGATTCTTTACTCAAAGGGCTATCTACTACTTCGTCAAATGACGTGAAGTATAAGTATT